CCCCAAAACCCCAAAACCCCAAAACCCCTATTTCAGCGAAAATATTTGAAAATTTAAATATGAATATTGGAAATATAGACCAACAGGAAACAGAACTAGAGAAAGTTATTGAGGATACAGGTGTGGTGTTATGGCTTATTGTATAGAACTTGATGTAGAAGATACTACCTGTAGGATGGTCAAATATCTAGACCTTTCTAGTGAGGAATCAGAAGAAGAGCATTATAACACCCTCAAGACCAATTAGACAGCTGGAACATCAGTTCAGCGTTCAGCCTGCAAATCTAAATGCTAATCATACCACAGATTTGACTGAGCTCTTCGATTTAACATTTCAAAAAGGAACTATTAAAAAGTGATTATTTCTTATTTAATAACTCTTTAGAGAGCAAAAACAAATCCCAAAGAAACCTCTCAATCCTCTCTGCTCAGAAATTGTCAACATCAATAAACTCCTCAAATAGACATAATTTCACTCCCATCACCGCCCCTCAAGGTACTCAAAATCCTCTATCCTTCCCTCACTCTTTAGACTCACTCTCTAAACTCTTCGAAGTCCTTACCAAATTCGATGCCCTAAAATCAAAATAAATACCTCTCAAATTCTCAACAAACCGCCTTCATTCTTGAACAAGAAAACGCTGAAATCATCCCAAATTCCACTTGAGTTCTTCATAGTTCACCAAAACCAATAATCCCTTCAGAAGTAAAAGACCAGTTGATATCTCTGAGTGAGAAGATACTCAAGAAGGACTCGTTGCTTAGAGATCTTAAGAAAGTATGTTTTGTGGTGTCTTAGTTATATGGTAGAAGTACAAGATGATAAAGGTGAAGGTGGAAGAGGTACATGACCTTAAGAGAGAAAATAAAAAGTGTGTAGGGTATATTAGAGAAATTGAGAAAGATAAAGATGAGTTGTTGAGCTATGCACAGATGTTGGAATCTAGGGTGGAGTGGTTTAAGAAGGCGTGTGATAGGTCAAATGTTGGATTGGAGGATATGCGTTGTCAGAATCAGTTTGGGTATCAAAGAAAGTCCCTTGATTGCCAGACTTCGAATGAATATACTCTTTCAAGAGAAGATTTCAGCTATGTTAGTAATAAGCGGAAGACTCCTGGTTATTATAGATAATTCAATTTTTGCAAAATTAATTGGGGTTTTGGGGTTTTGGGGTTTTGGGG